TTCGAAGAGCAGATGGAGGCGTTGGAGGCATATCAGAAAGCGCAGTTGGATGACTTTTACGCTACTGACCAGGGGTTTGATATGCTGAAAGCTGGCATTGCGCCGCATATGATTACTAAGGAGGAGACGGCGGTTGTGATAAAGGTGCGCCAGGCTGGGAGGCAGTTGTATGAGCTGGCGAAGAAGGCGGATGAGGTGTTGGTGAAGGAGATGGTGGGGGAGAATGAGGTTTGGAAGGAGATCTTTAGTAAAGAGGAGAAGGAGGGGTTTGCGAGGGAGTTTATTGAGGTGGTGGCGAGGTGGAGTCAGGTGAATCCTTGAGGGGTTTTGAGAAAGGGCGGTTGTGGCATGCTTCCATTAGACTTCCAAAGACTGACGGTTTACAGGGCATGCTTTTCGCTTCACTTTTGTCGTTTTGATGCAACTTTTTGCCATCAATCATGCTGCGAAGTAGCCCAGAAACTAGACATTTACGCACGTGCTAGCTTTGGAGTCATCAGAGAAGTCAAAAGAAACCCCATCTTGTATTGAACATGCTACTTTACCCAACTAATACGTACAGTCTACCCGACGCCCGTCTTATACACTGAACAAGTGCCCTAATAAAATGTATTTCTCCAACTAAATATCTCAATCCCGCTAGCTCCCCATCTATCTAACCTTCCGGACCTAAGTGCGATCCGCTGGATCCGCCCACTGTGTACCGCGTCTTCTTTCCCGGGAGCTCCATGGCGCAACCTCCGGTACATACGGCCTGTGTGCGTTCACTTTTCGGAGGGTGTCGCAATGATCGCAAATTTCCTCGTTTTTGAGGGTAAGCGGCGTGGTACGCGAAACAAGTTGGTTGCACGCTGGGTTAGGGCAGACCCAGTCTCCCTTGAACTTCATACACTGAAAGCGATTATTCTGGCATCTTTCCTTGTTGTTCTTATCGTTGACAAAATCGCACAAGGTGCATCGGTACCATTCGGCGGAGGGCATGATATGTGTTGGCTGTTCGTGCAGTTGAGATAGGAGATGATGGTTGTGATTGTGTGTTGGTAGATTTGGGTGCGGATATGCTGTCCTGTGGATTCTTGACTTGCTTAGCTGGGGAATCCGTGTTTACCAGAACATCACTTACGAGATCGAAGTAGGATATGAATAGGATTGCTGTTGTAGACCTGCTAACAACCGAGGAAGATGGATGATAGATGTTCGTAGTTGATAATAGACTCTGAGTGTTGTATTCTAGGTATTTGCTGCGTTGTATTTTGACAGAGGGCGCCAGCGAGGCGACTTTAATACTATCGTAGATTCACATATCGTACTCAGATGTGATTACCGCACTTCATACGACGCAAACGAGACGTGAAGCCTACCATCAATTAATGGCGGATGGATTGACATCTCGACGTCACAGGTGATTGCACCTGGCTCATCACATCGTTCAGTGCAGTCAAGACATCGACGAATTCCATTATCTCAGCGAAGTCTAAGCTGGAACGGGCTCACGGTATGTGAGGAATCCATAGGCTTTACTACCTAGGTACCAACAGTGCGGTGCAGTCGCTCATCGCGAAGAGAACTGGGTGTCTTTCCCCTTCACTTCGTTCCAAGTTCATACTAGCATCGACAGACCGCATAAAATTGAACATTACAATCAGTCAAAAGAGTGTGATTTATCATACATATTATATCCTCCGTCAATGAAGGTGTACAAAACACCCATGAACCCCCTGGTTTGACACTGAGATACCCAATCAAAATGAAACACCTTAGCCAACATCTTCAACTCCTCTGCATCCACATCTTTCTACCTTTGGCCGCTCTGTTGTTGATATATTCAGAGAACTGGCGGTTCTTGACGGTCAGGTGGGTGCGACCCAAGGCCTAAACCCTTCTTCTCTGCCACGTCGCGCCAATGTCCAGGTTTAATCTTCGGTTCGTATTGATCGTCCGGGTCTTCCTCCTTACCACAACCGGAATGATTGCAGACACGAACCTCGCCCCCTGCAAGTGGACGATCGCGCTTTACGATCTGCTTGCAAAAATTGCAAATCCAGTCGTGCTTCCTCAACGGACAATTCGGTAAGTGGGGGTTCTCGCATTTCGCGGTGTCCTCATTCGAATTATCCGGATTAGCCCATCTGCACCGAGGGCAATACCATAAATCTTCCAGTGTCCCCCCCATATTTGGGTTTTCTTGCTAGGGTGTTTGAGAGGACTTGTAGGACGAAGTAGGGCGATGGTCGCTTTGGGTGCGGATGCGATGGCGTTCTCGAGTTTTATTTGGTGAAGTGGCGAGTCGCCGTCTGTTCTTGATTGAGGGCTGCTCAACCGGTAGGAAGAATCGGTATCGCTACCTTGCTTGATATAAATTATAAGGGTATGTAGATGCTCGTGGTTAATGAGTAACTTCTGCTGTTGCGATGCACCTAGATAGAAGGCGCGCAAGAAACGCAATTTATACCGGTGAAGACTCACACATTTTGCATACTCACAACCACATCTGGCTCACCAAACTACTCATTACAGTCAAATGGTTGACTGTACCAAGTGTTTCGATGGAGTCGTTGCATTCAAGTCACCGACTGATGAGAACGTCTGACTGAAGATGGCGGGACTGTACTACCTGCAACACAACCGAAGTGACGACTTAGAGGACTCATAAATATAACACGTGTTGTATATAGATAACGCCTCGTTTCCATCCCGCTATTTGGCCCGTGATGCCGCACTGACCTAAAAGTCACTTTGTCGCTGTCGATGTGATCGTTTCTACCCGTCTAAATCTCGCTCCATAAACTCCGTATAATCCAATCCAATCCAGTAATCCGTGCCTTTGTCGTGTAAGAGCTTGGTGTTCGCAGCTTCGATGCTGGAGAGTCTTTCCCAGCGCAGTTAAGCGAGCTGTCTTCTGGACCCTGACTTCGTCATATTACGAAATGGTCCCTGCCATCCTTCAAATCCTTCGCATCCTTCGTCCCGTTACACCATGACTGCTCATCTCTCCCACTATATCCTTCACCACCACCACCACCACTCCTCTTCCTTTCAATCGCCTGTCACCCCTCAAACACACCCATAAAAATAATCTTCGACCTATCCACACCACCTCTTCACCTCCCCTCATACTCCGTCCCCTTCTTCCTCTCCGCCGAGCTCCAACTTCTCACCGGCGGCGTATACTTGTACTTCGCATCAAACGCCGCACCACACTGATCACACCTATACACGCCGTCCTTATCACAACCCAGTGTGATGCGCACAATGTTTGGGCATTTGGCGCAGAACCAGTCGCCTTTGGATTTGGGGCAGTAGGCGATGTTGTTGAGGCAGGCGCCGTTGTGAGAGGCCGGGTTGGGGAAGTCGCAGCCGGAGCAGCGGTAGGGGGTCGCTGATGGCATAGTTGGGTTGGTGAGATTTGGCAGTTGGAGGTGAGTGGTTGATTGCGATTTGGGACGGAGAAGTAGAACCAGGTTGAGGTTGTGGGTTGTAGACTGAAGGGTTGTGGTTGGAAGATTGGTGAGTACGTAAAGAGTGTAATTGATGGAGAGACTTTGAAGCATGAGGTGTGTAGGAGTGCATGAATAGAGTATTTACACTCTCAGATCTTCGACTTCGGATACGGATAACGCAATGGTTCTTTTGACCAACGTTCTTTCTGTCGGGCTGTGTTCCGTCGTATTTCCATACGTATAGCGAGCGAGAAGAAGGTTTGTGCGCCGTGGGGTGTTCGGCGAGGACGAACAACTGCTAACGTATCTAACCAAGACGCCGTCTCATCATGAACTACCCACCTAGCCAGCCATCTAATCCTATATTCCCTACCACGCTCATCTCATTCAGTGCCCTGTTCCTTCTCATACTCGTTCTTTCATTTCATCATCCTGAAGTAAGTACTTCCAAGGTTGTCATGACTCGCGAGATTATACCTGCAGCGCAACTCCGACTCACTCCCCTCTACCCCATTCGCCACTTCTTTTCCTCTTCAACAGCACTCGGCCTCAGCCTCACGCAGAGCCCGAAGACTCGGTCGCTGAAACACCTTTTTCTACCGCACCGTTCCTTGATGTTCCTTGATATCCACCTAGCGCCCCCTACCAGGACCTACCATTGGCTCTTGGCGGAGAAAAAGCATCCCCAGCGCTGACGTGCACGCCGCTAGTACACGTGTACTAACCACAACAAAGCCTACAAGAGGACTATCATTACATCTTGGCTTGTTTCCGCGAATCTGGTTTTGTTCCCGGCCACGTTGTTTATGTTCCGTTCCACGTGGAATCTTCCATGTGGCAACCATGGCGCATGCAGATCTCAACGTAGAATGACAAATAGAATAGGCGAGGAAGGGCGAAGAAGGCGAGGAAGGTTCGAGAAATGAGGCGGTGGAGGTGTTGTTTTTGTGTCATGTTGATGGGTGAGGATGGGGGTTGAGTAATCTTAATCATGCAGCCCGAGGTATTTTGGAGGCTGTTGTGGTGCGGTGGGTGGGATTCAGAGGGCACTTTGCGTACTTGTATCTATGAAACGCTCATGGGGTGCTCACAGGTGTGATCTCATCAGACCCCGGCAGAGTCTCCTACGTGAACCACTCTACCAACGACGAGAACTGCACCCTCAAATAGTGTACTAAAACGCTGGAGGACTTTTGGTGCAATGCCAAACTAATGTTTTCGGTACCAAGAGGGCCGATGCGGACGGGTAGCTCCAATGTGAATCTGGTCCAGGATGTAACCAAGCTATAGAAGGCCATCTCCTTCTCCTCCACAGTGATGGGTAGAGGCGCCGGAATACCAAATTGGAGAGGCACCGAAATAGCGGTCCGGAGAGCGAGACGGGCGTGCCGAGGTTGGTCGGTAAAAGAGTGAGGACACTTCGGGTCGCAAAGCGATCCGGGGTGAAAGCTTGAAAAGAATAGTTATAGACTAGGACGAAGGAAACGAAACCATTGCGAAGACCATCATCTCCAGACCCATGCATCAACAACCAAGCCACCTATACGTTGTCATCGTAAACTACTTCTGATGCGTATGATCGCTCCGCGCCCCAGTAACTCCGATATTGAAGTCCTCGCGTATCCTCGACAGCGCACTCTGCTCCTCTTCATCCGCGACTTCATCGTCGACTTCAACTTCAGCAATGCTGTGTCTGCTATCCGAGCCATCACTACCATCCGCGTTGACCAACGCCTCCTGCTCCTGCTCGTCCTCATTATCCGAATCATCGTCCGTGTCGTCGTCATCGGCTTTATTCGATTCGCGAGGATCGCGGCCAAGCTCTGGTTTCGTCTTGCGTTCAAAGTCCTCAGCGTGGGCGTCGCGGAAGATTTCGCCGACATGAGTGAACGCGCGCTGGAGAGGAGAAGGACGGAAATCGTCTTGAGGGCCGCGGCGCTTGCGCGTATTCGACTGGGAGTGTTCGAGATCTGCTCCTGAAGCTGTAGCTGGGCGGCGGACTTGGTTGTTGTTCTCGGTTGGAGTGTAGGGACGAGCCTCGTCGGGCTGTTCTTCGTCGATGAGGGTAGGTGCTCGAGGGATACCAGAGGTGTGATCCTCTTCCTCTTCCGCGTCCAAGGGGAGGTAGTAGGGTAGTGGTACATCTCTGCTTGCGCGGAAGCGACCGACGTTCGTACAGTGCTCGTTCTCGACACGAAATACGGACCACATGCCTCTTCTGAAGATCTCACTGAGGGAGACACAGAATGAGGTAGTCGCTGAGTGCTGAAGCTGCAGGGGCGTGACGAGGTACATAACCCAGTTGTTCCGCAAGATTGGATCAATGCACATAGCAGTGTAGTACCACCACACTTTCTTGTATCCCAGCTCCTTGCGCAGGAAGGGATGCTTGGCATGTGGGTCACCGAGACTCCAGTCGTAGTAGATGTCCCAGAAGCTCGTGTAGATGCCGTTGATGGTTGCGAACAGTATGAACACTGCCTTGGTCGACGGTTTCTGGTCCATGCGGTAGATGCTGGTGGAAACATAGAACAGGATGGTTGCGATGTACTTTCCGCCGTTCAGCAGATGAGGGAACTTGTTTCCGGTGTCTTTGTAACGTCGCAGACATTGCATCAATCGCCATATACCCGGCAACGTCGTCATAACCCCGGTAACGCGTAGGTGAGACGAGTTGCATTGGTTGGGATTGTCCCAGCCGTGCGCGTAGAGACAGAAAAACAGTGCGATGCCCTAGACGGGTCAGTGATTTGGAGCAGAGATGGGTTCGGCGGACTAACACTCATGCTGTACGTCAGAGAACAAAACATGTCGCCCAAGTAGAAGTCTCGCCATTCGACAGGGTATATACCAGCGAGCAACAAGCGCCACTGGCGAGGCATTAGCAGTGATTTCGCATGAGTTGATCAACAAACTTACGAGGGAGTACAGCAGCCACATGCGAGTACGGAAGTACATTATCCTCAGAGGATTGAACAAAAGCGCGACCGATATACCAATAAGAATGACTGGGTAGTAGAGATAGAGTCCATCTCCCCCAACCTGATGAAAGTTGATTTGCATAAATAGTCCAAGCATAAACAAAGTCCAACAAGGAAGCTATGATACGTTAGTGTCAGCATACCAGATATGGGATGAATACTGACCTCCGCAAGTTGCCTCCAGTCCAAGTGGTGGCGGGTATCATATTCAAAGATAAAGACGTAGTTGATCTTGTGCTCGTGCCAGGTCCGACACGCTAGAGTGAATAGGAGAAGAAGGAAGTTGATGAGGAAGTAGCCGGCATATATCTGAAAACATTAGCTTTGCCCTATCCATGGTTTGGATGAACCTACCTGCAACAGATAGCTCGTGTTCACTGCGAACTCGTTCCCGTCAGTATTGTGCAGATCTGCAATAGTGTTTGCTTTGATGAGACCCTGGATGCCAAGTATGACGCCCGCCGACAATAGCAGACCGTTACGGAATGTATTGTCTGTGTAATCGCCTGCTCGTGCGATCTTGATGCGTAGCTTCCCGATGGCGACTTTGTGGTTGCCCTTCTCGAAGTATCTCGCGTATAGGTCCTCCGTTGCTCGAATGTGCCCTTCGATTACGTCGCTGTTCACGAACCAGGCTTGGTTGACCTTCTCATTCATGTACCGCGACGACGGTCGCGCGTTGACGGTCTTGTCATACTTCTTGTTGATTTTCCGGAAGGCAGTCCGGTTCAACAACGCGTAGGACTTGAGAAGCTCAAGCCCTCTGTAGTACTCCTGCAGTGCCACCTTGAGCTTGCGCTTCGCTGTCTGGTATGGCACGTCGGGCAGATCTGGCCGTCTAGCAAAGTCGCGACGGCTATCGGGATGGTCCTTGGGCTGAAGAGCCGCTGGAGTCGCAAGCTGTGTTATGTTCTTGGTGCTCTTCCCGTACTTGCCCGCGTTGATGGCGTCCAGCGCTGCGTCTATGGGGTTTAGGAAAGTGTCCTTGAGAGTGTTTCCAATATTCCCATTCCCGTTGGCCTGCTGATTCTCGTCGCCCGAGCTGCTGTTCTGACCGTTGCTCAGCACATGATGCCCGTCGTGTTTCTTGTGGGCCTTCGCATTGATTTTGTCCGTCTGACGCTTGATGACCTCGTCGATACGTCGGTCTCGCATGATGTGGAGTTGGTCGCGGAGCACATTCAGGCGCTTGGTAGCCTCGTCCTCCTTGTGCTTGTAGAACGACTCGATCTTGTCCAGCTCGCCATCGAGGAAGTTGAAGAACTCAGCTTGTCGGAAATCAAGATCGCGATAGGCTTCGAGGGGGACATCGCCTGGGCTGTCCGGGGGAGTCTTGCTGCTCAGTGAGAACAGGCGGCGTACCGATGGGCGCGACTTGTGCTCAGTGATGGGCCCAGGCAGCGAGTTCATGCGCTTGGGGGTGAAGACGCTCTTGTATCGGTTGGGCAGCGAGTTGTGATGCTTGTGGGGTGACACCGTCTTGCCGACTTCGAAAGCATTGTCGTTGTCGTTCTCTGCTGGCGGAGGAAGCGTGACTGTCTTCTGCTTTCGCAGCGATGCGCCAGACGCCGCTCCTCCTTGCGGGGAAGGGTTCTCAGGGTCGAGCGCAGCCCCAGGCAGCTTCAAGGATGGCGGTGCCTTGGCCTTGTCTGCAGAGGTACCGGTCTTGGTGGCGCCATCAGATGTGCTTCCCTCAAAACTGCCGTAGTTGTGTGCCCAGTCTCGGCGGTTCGTCTCGCTCTGTGCCAATGGCTCTTCCTCGGGCGTGCGGCCACTCTGGTTGCTGTTCGCTCTCTGGCGCAGGCTGTGCTGGCTGCGGCTGTTGGTGATAGCAAGCGCCCTCAGGTCCTCGGGGTCTCTGGCGCTGCCCGTCTGGTCGCGGTTGAGGTACGTGTACTTGGGCGCGGCATCGAAGGGCGAGGGCAGGATCTGGGTGCCGCGTCGGCGGAGGCGTGGGGTCGATTCGACATTGCGGAGGGCGCGACTGATGGCCTTGAGCTTCTTCTTGCCCACCTGAGGTATCGTCAGTCGTCTGTGGTATTAAGCGTCGGCTAGCGGAAGTCGGCATCACCTTGTAGTCTAAGTACTTGAGCCGCCACTCCGGTACCAGATCGCGCTCTAGCTCTCTACTGCAGTCAGTCCCGTGGCTGGAGTTATTTAGGTGCGTCGTCTCACTTTGCGAACTTCATGACCGTCTCGTCGGCGCGTCAATACCCAAACACGATCAATGGGGGGCACAAAAGCGCGTTCGCGTTTCTCGTCGATGCATGAGGTTCCGCGCAGACACACTGTAAAATGTTTCACGGGCGCGATAAGGGTTAGTAAATGCGAAGATGGTCGTGTGCTACCTCCAGCAGTTAAACCGTGGTTGCGAGGGCCGTCACGATGAGATTGAGTATACCGCGGAGGAGATTTGCACGAATCATGTTCCCCTTGGCAGCTATTGGCGCATTGGCGACAACGTCATACCTAGGGATCCTGTATTCTGCAGGTGTGGAAGCCCCTCAGAAGCCTCCAGCACAAGACCGGATAAACACACACGTCGATAGAGACATACAGCTGCCACTGTTCACGAAACACGTTGACGATACCGAGGGGCTGGCCAGAGCACTGGTCTCAAAAGGATTGAGCTAGTCCTTCATTGGATTCTTGGTTGCTTCTATGGGTCTGACCAATCATAGCCGTCTCTCCTCCGCTACCACCCGCGCCTCTCAAACTTCTCTGGGCGACCATACTGCTGAGGGTCGTACTGGTCCGCGCCATGGTTGTCGATGTAGTGCTCGTCGTACATGCGCTCTGCATGATGCTCTGCGTCGCGCTTGGCCTTCTCGCGGTCGAACCAGTCCTCGCCCTTGGTCTCGGCGAGCTTGTCAACCTACAGACGTCCAATTAGCCGCCATCCCATACACCGTCACACGGTGATGCTTACCTCAGCGCCTGCGAAGCCGGCAAGAAGCTCTTTGGCGAACTGATGGGATACCGGCTTGCCTAAGACGACGTCAGTTTGCGATGAGATCGAGCATGTGGAACACATACCCTCTTTGCGCTGGTGGTCTTCGAATGCCTTGAAGCCTGCGAAAGCAGCTCCTCCGGCGATCATTTCGTGACCCAGACTGGACTTGTTCTCTTCGAAGTTGTCATTCTCGTAGACCTGCTGGTAGTTGTCTTCGTTCCTGTCTGTAATAGAGTCAATGAGAGATATCTTCGATAAGTGAGACAGACGGACCCCAGAAGCCCATTTTGATAGTTGATGATGTGAAGACGAAAAGATGAGGAGTGATACTGGACTTGTCTGTAGTTCAGTAATGGTAGTTGAGTGTACTGTCCATTTTTGAGGCGTACTTTGTCAGCCTTTAAGTATCTCTCCTCGAACAACCGCTGCCACGCGGCGTCATAGTCGGCCAGCATTCATGCATCTGTTGGCAGTAACAAATCACTCATCGAAGCCGATCGTACCCCTCTCTTCTCGCGCTCAGCCATCCAGGGACCACTTGTGGCTCAGCTGTGAAGCACATGCAGGGTCCTTGAGCTCATTCCTGCGCCACGTTACGCACCAGACCGCTGACATCTTAATCTGAGTGGCTCACTCTTCGTGTCGGCACGTTTGAGAGTATATTGACGAACCTGTTGCGGTATAGACGCGTGCGTAATGGGCCAGGATGTGGACGTCAGATCAACGGGACGCTCGGCACAGTCAAACAAGCTTCCTTGGTAAAGCTTAGCCTTGCATGACGGAGCGTCTAGGCTCGCGAGCTGAGGGGCTGCGCCTGCAAGAAGTTCCAAATACTCATTGAACAGTACCACAGAATGCGAAACGAAAGTTGAGTTCTCTTGCCAATACTGTAGCCTGGCATCAGGTAGGATACCTAGGTAGTTGGGGTTGTTGCTTGTTCCGTGGTAGAAAGCTTGGCTAGTTAGCGCGCGATCATCTCCCGAGTCTCAGGTGCTCCAACTCCACCATGTACTCAGCCACAACCCCATCTTCGCGACAACATGCCGGGCCGACTCCCCACGAAAGCTGACTTTCCATCGTCGGTGACCTTGAGCATCACGCCACGTATGTCGCAATCTCCAGAGTCGCTCTTACGCTCGCTAACTCGTCCAGCGCCGGCTTCGCAACCACCCACGAACATCTTGATCCTTCTACACGGCCTCGGCGACACGAATGCATCCTTCACGAAGCTCGGCGAGCAGCTGAACCTCCCAGAAACAGCATGCATTGCGATACAAGCGCCGAACCCGCTGCCGTTCGATCTCGGTGGAATGCACTGGGGCGAAGATATGATCTTTGACTCCACTACAGGCGAGATGGACATGGATACCGGCGTCCAGAAGTCCACACTTCTGGTCCTAGATCACGTCATTCGCGAAGGTCTCATCGGCAAATGCGGCTACAAAGCGCGCGAGATCATGATCTTTGGGTTCGCGCAAGGCGGCATGGTCGCACTGCAGGCTGCTGCCCAGCTTGAGGAAGAACTAGGCGGGGTAATCAGTATCGGAGGGCCTCTGTCTCAATCAGTGCCGCTGAAGGCTTTGGAGAAGAAGAGCAAGACCCCGGTGCTAATCTGCAAAGCAGACAAGAAGTCTGCAGTCACCGACAGTGCGACTACGAAGCTGAAGGATGCTTTCCAATATATCGAGTTCAAAGAGTGGAAGAAGAACGGCGATGGCATGCCGAGCAGCCGCGACGAGATGCTGCCCATCATGCAGTTCTTTGCTCGTCGGCTACGGAGTACTAGAGGAGTCCCGGCAGGTAGCGTCGAGATTGGATAGGCATGTCACTGAAGATATCGCGAAATGTATTGTCGAGGTCAGTCAAAGCCTCCATGGGCCACTACGCGCATGCGGCGCCTTTCCAAGTGCTGGGTAGGTAGCAAAGTAAGGACACCAAAGAATACAAACGGCTCATCAATCGCGATCTGGACATGAAAAACTTCACACCCACACACCATCAACATGGCTTTGCCCACCACATTCCTGTCATCGCGCCTTCCTGCCCTCGTGATGCACGTGGCGTGGTCCGAGCGCCTTCTACGTCACTTCCATTCTTGAACACCATTCGCTCATCGTCTTCCACCTCCCGAAACCTACACACGTCTCACCGCTAAACACAGCCATGGCGGTGCCGAGGAATTCTTTGCGAGCCTTCCTCACACACGCGAGAAGCGCTCTTCGGAGCGCCATTGAAACTAGTCAGAAGATTACATTCGTCATTGGCAATGAGTCTGCGGGTGAGCATGACTCCTGCTCCACAATGGCGCTGCATACTCATGAAATGCAGACCTTGATTCGATGTCATGTTCCATTTTGTACGCATACCTCCGGTCCATGTCGCCGCCCAAGAATGCTTTCAGCCCACTTTACGTACCAATCACAAATATTCCAGCTGCCGATATGCAGCTACGACCGGAATACTTGGCCGTATTCAAGCACGCCAATATTGAGTCAAAGCACTTGATCACATTGGATGACCTTCCTGCTTTGTCAGACATACAGTCGAAGCTCGCGCCTGAGAATACCAAATGGATCTTGGTAGACCACAATGCGCTGCAGGGCCAATTGGGCAAAATTTACGCAGAGCGTGTCGCTGGTGTCATTGATCATCATGACGATGAGAAAAAAGTACCCCAAGACACAGGCGACGAGCCGAGGATAATCGAGAAGTGTGGCAGCTGCACTAGCTTGATTGCAAACTACTGCCAGCCATCATGGGACATGGCTTCCGCGTCTGCCTTGTCTTCGGGGGCAGCCCATGCGCAGGGTGACAGCATGTCCAACGACGCTGCCTTTGTCAAGCGCTGGGATGCAGACGTCGCCCAGTTGGGACTGGCCAGCATTCTCATCGATACGGCCGATCTCCACGACGAGAACAAAACGACCGAGCATGACCGTAAGGCTGTCGAGTACCTGGAAGCTAAGATCATGCTCTGTCCCCCGCTGGCTGCAAGCTTCGACCGCGCCAGCTTCTACAAGGAGATCAACGCAGCAAAGAAGGACATTGGAAGCCTAAAGCTGCAAGACATACTTCGGAAGGATTATAAGCAATGGGACCAGGGTGGCCGAAAGCTCGGTGTTAGTTCAGTCGTCAAGCCTATAGAGTTCCTCCAGAAGAAAGCCGGCGACGAAGCAGGTGCTCAGGCATCCGACGCGTTCCTCAAAGCGTTGGAGGACTTTGCAAGGGAGCGTGAGCTGGACATGTATTCCCTGATGACCACGTCGTCGGGTGCAGATGGGCAATTCCAGAGAGAACTGTTACTATGGGCCTTCAACGACGGCGCCGTGTCGGCTGCCAAAACATTTGCCACGAATTCGAAAGATGAGTTGGGATTGGGGGACTGGCAGGGCTCCAACGACATTGACAGCAAGAGCGAGTGGAGAAAGACTTGGTGGCAGCGACAAGTGCAGCACAGTCGGAAACGTGTCGCTCCTCTACTCAGGGAAGCCATGCCTTGACTATGGGTTCTGGGCAAGCTGTGATGGAGTCGCGGAGGCAGCGATCGGGTACAATGGTGCCGGTAGAGCGCTACGCTGGCGCGTTGGTGTCGGATTAGCGGGGATCGCCACGATTTCGCATGTCTTGCATTGTAGATAGGCGCCTAGCAGCGATTGGGCAGGGCAGCCGTCAGCCCAAATGCCGTTGGGTAGAGTACGTGGAATGGCCATGGGTACCTGAAGAAGGAGCGGTCTGTATGCGGCAATCGTGTGGCGGGGTATTACACGCGACCGGCAGATGGTCGACGATCTCCGATAGCCAGCTGGAAACGAAACATGTTCAATGTAACATTTCAACGCCCACGCAGGATATTCTTATCTCGTAATATTACGATCGCGATTGAGTTGCCATGCACCAGGATATAGCGGCAGACGCACTGCGACTGCAAACATGCAAAAGGAACGAAGCTCCGCAGCGACTGCAGCGATAGCCCCAAGCAGGAGATGCTGCAGAGAGTTTAGTATGTGGTGTGACGGTGCGGCTCATTGGATGGCGACTGGATATGCATGGCGGAGTGATGAATGATGTCGAGGATTGCGAGGCACTAGGCATGCACTGGGAGATGAATGGGAAAACATGGGTTCACAGCGGTGCAGCGCGATGCTTTGGCGTGCAGCATGTTGCATGGCATGGTCCTTTTTGACAGCCATGCGCTGGCAGCGCAGGGGAAGAGGGCGACTCCACTCGCCGGCCGTCACGTCAGGAGGGCGAGCAGAGCTGCGCGCAGGCGATTAGCTGAGGGGCGTCGTCTGTATTGGCGCTGCAGCTGCAGCGGCGAAGCGTGTTTGAGAGTTTACGAGTTGCTCTGCTCGTGAGGGCAGCGTGCCGTGGTGAAGGGAGGAGGGGTAGCGTTGAGGGGCGGTCGCAGAGGCGGCCAGCGATACCGCCTAGCCTCTCTATGGCGACATCAACACGGCCAGCACCAGCGGCGGGAGAGCGTCGCCGGAGCTTCCATCAGAGCGACGACGGCGCCGATCCAAAGCGTGCGTTGTCGACGAGTCTCTGTGCGAGGCGGGGATGGCTGGTGTGGGAAGGCGAGGGTCTGAGCTGAGGCATTCGGCGGGCTGGTCCTCATTCGTCCCACTGCGATGTGCTGTTCCTGCAAGTCATCGCCTGGACGGCTCCATGGCGACATGGAGGCCGTGGGCAAGTCTGGCGGTCTGGCACGGCCACCAATCTGAAGCAGCTCCCCCGCTGTATTTCGCCCACGGTATGCTCTCTAGGTGGCTGGCGGCTTAGCAGTAGTATGGGATTAGTCGGGGGCCGTTGAGCTGCAGTCGTGACTTGTTACAGGGACTCGAGGACGAGGCCCAATCACGCTTCTTTTGCCTCGCTTCTGTATCATTACCACCTAAAGAGTCAAGACGCGCCAGCGCATACGTCGAGCGCGGTGGAGAGGGCGCGCCCAAAGCAGTTCTTCTTCTCCCAAGACTACCGCCCCATCTGGCAATGCCGTAGGGGATCTCTGCCACCTTCTTGAGGTCCGCACCTTCCGTAGGGCTTCCATGGGGCTCTCTCATGGCGACATGATGCGACGAACCCAACTCACAGCCTCGCCGGCGCAGGCTGGCAACACTCCGCGTAGGTGCCCATCTCCCTCCCCGTGCTCTGCTATCCCCCCCGTGCGCGAGCGCGTCTCCGGCCAATAGCTGGCGCGGGCATCAATGCGCTGCTCTGTGCATGTACGATGAGCTGGCAGGCGAGCCGACGCTGACTTTCTCGTAGCCGTGTCGCCCACCGTCACCCATGTGTCGTCCAGATGCCACACGCCCTCGCACACTACTTCTCAAGTCGACGACCCGCCCGCTGAGGCTCCGCCTAGGTCTCACAGCCCGCCCAGGTCGCCCTCACCTCGCGCTCCCAAACCACCACCGGCCACCATGGGCAGCCGACCTGGCGGAACTCCAGACGTCCACGCCGACCGCCATGGCCACCAGCAACTCCAGCGCCCCCAGATACCCGCCTCCATGTCTGCCCCCGCCGGCCGCCTGCCGCGCCTGCTGCCCGCGGACCTCTCCTCCTACACCGACTCGTACCTGCCGACTGCAGCCATCCCACCGTCCGCGACTTCCCTCGCCGAGCTCGCCCACCTGATCCGCCTCCAGGGCTACCAGGAGCAGCGCAAGACGCATGCCCGCGTGCGCCTGCACCGCTGGCTGGTCTCGAGCGCCCTCTCCGCACGTCTGGTACACTGCGGCGAGCTGGCCTACCGCACGCTGGTCGACAACTTCCGCTCCGACGACAAGAAGTCGTTCGCCTCCCTCTACAACGCCCTCAACGATGTCCGCAACTCGTGCGATGCCACGCGGCAGTATGCCCTCTTGGAGCCGGATCTGGAGTTTGGCAAGTCCAAGAACTTCCGGAGCGAGAAGCCCCTCTCTGCCTCCACTTTCCTCAATGAAGTCCCGTCCAAGATCCTGGACAACCTTCTAGATTTCATTTCTGAAATCCGTACGAACCCAGAATTTCTTGCTGCTCGTATTTCCAGTCTTTCGCAGCAAGAGCTCACTTCTCTTACGTCTTTCCGTCAGACCATGGACCCGATTGACTCGGTCATGTTTGCAAACGCCCGTAGCCGCAACGCTCCCTCGCAGAAGGCCCAACAGCAAGGAACAAGCCCGGTAGAACGTCTGCTATCTTTCCAGCGTCACGATCCGCTGTCTGCCCTCGTTTACACCATTTTCGCTAATTCATCCGGACCCGACTCGGCAGAGGACCTTCGCCGTACAGATGTATGGGCCACTGTTTGTGCTAAGCTGATTAAGAACAACAACCCCAACTTCATCCGCACTGTGCTCGATGTTTGGGCCGGTATGCGAGAATGGCCCGGAAAGACCAACTTGGAGCTCTATCTTATGCAGACCCTCCAGGATGGCCAGTTCCTGCTCGAGAAGCCCGAGGAGCAGGCCGCACGACCTGGAATGCAAGCGACCCCGCGCTCCAGCAAGGACACCATCGCAGCAGACGAGTTCTTTGACAAGGCTGTCAAGCGTCTGTTCGAGGTCGTTGACGATGAGCCCAGTGCCGGCGGCATTCCAGAAGGAGTCTTGGAGATTGGAAATGCCATCCTCCGCAAGCTGGAGGACGAGAAGAGCCTGCGCAGGGCTTCGCAAAATTTCTTTGTCTCGCGTTGGCTCTTCTCTACCTTCCTCATGAACGCCATCATCCATCCCGAGGCATGTCTACCCTTTCTGACGCAAGAATTGCGAAACTAACACACAACAGACCCATGGCATCATGATTGGCCACCACATCAGTGAGCATGCTCGCATCAAGATCCTGAAAGAGGTCGCCATCCGAGCGCAGAAATATGTCGTGAACATGACCTACAACTGGTATGACGCTATGCTGCAGTACCCTTGGGCCATCAGCTAACAAAATTGTAGGAAGCAGAAAAACGAAATCCTCCCAGAGATCCGCACACACATCGAGAACATCCTCGCTCGGTTCAAGCACACCAAGACACCCTCGAAGCCAATTTTGCTTCCTGCAAAGGCTATAACATCACCCAGAGAAACTGTGGAAGTTCAGCCATTCATTGTCTTGTCACCAGCCGACATTGTCACCCTGGTCAACGCCCTGTTCCCGGAGCGACGTCCGTCGTCCAGCCACATGGACAATGACAGCCAGCGCCGTACTGGTCTGGCTTCCTCTGCTTCTTCCATGTCTGGGATGTCGGTTCCATTCCGCAATGCCGCCGCTTCTGTGACTGACGCAAGCTCTATCCTAAGTGCCAGTGCTTCTTCAATGACCAGCGACCAGACCTCGCGTGAGCCACTTCTGGACAGCAACCCGGTATCCGGCGAATCACCGACAGAGATGAAGCCTGCACCAACAGAGCAATACGGAAGACAGCTGCGAATGGCATGTTCTGAGATGACTCGCCTCCTAGGTTTCGAAGCCACATCAGGCTCTTGCCATCCGTGCGCAGAGCGATGGGCTGTCCTTTACATCTCCGCCGATGGAAAGCAGCTAAAGCCGCGTATGCGCAAAGACTTTGATGATGAGGATGAGCACGACGAGGACTCACCAGACAGCGACAGCAGCGACGATGAAGAGGGCGGGAACAGGTTCGATCTTGGCAACGACTACCACCAGCTGAAAGAGGCAATCGCCAAGCTGGTGGAGGAGTACGAGATTCCCAAGGATCTTGCGCCCGACAGCGAATCGAAGAACTTCAGCAACAGAATGACGACCCGCAAAAGCACTCGTGGACGTGGCCCAGTACGCAACGTCAGCGAAAACCTCGGATCACGCAATCCATACAACTCGACTCAGAGCCAAAGCCAGCTTACCAACATGATTGCCAGCCAAAGAAACGTCTCATCACGGCGCTCACCACAATTTCCGAGAAGTCACAGCAACCCTCAAGTCGGCGAGAAGCAAGAGAACAACTCAGTTCTGGTCACCATGCTTGAGACCGCCATGTACCAGTGTCAAGCACGATCCGATTTCGTCAATGCGCATATGTACTACAAGACATTGCAGAGTCTGAAAAGACTCAGCTCTCCGACACTGGTCAAGAACGGCTACGCAGCCCTTCTCAACTACTTCTCTCGCAGCCCGCGCGACCTCCTCAGCAAGGCAGCCAATGCCATTGAAGAGTTCGAGGCCTGGTTCGTGTGGCTCAAGCAGTCCCAGGAACGGTCAGATGGTATGGTCGAAGAGATGATGCTCACGTTCAAGAATCTTCGAGACAAGATGTGGTACATCACAGATGTCCGCACTTCCAAGCCATACGAGGACGCCAGGAACGTTGCGCTTGCTCTCAAGATTATGGACCAACAGTCAAAGATGCTCAATGTCAGAGGCCCGTCTGGTTCTCAACCGCGAAACAGCAACAGCTTCTTACGCCAGAACGAAGCTCAGCTGGTTGACCTCATGTCAGCTTCTCAAGATTTCGGTGGCCCGAACAAGTTGTCAGACGAACAGTCGCAAATCACGCTGAAGTGGCTTATGCAATACAGCGTTGAGAACTTCTGCAAGGGCGAAGAGCGGATACACCGCTTCTGTCTCGAAGTCGACAAGTGCGTCACCAAGGTCATTGGCGAGGGCGTTCTCGACGGGCCCGTGCTCTGGGCCAGCGATCTCTACAAACGTGACCAGCAGATTCTGGAGAGCGGACGTCAGAAGGGCGACCTATTCCTGACCGGTGTTGGCACTCTTTCCATCGCCGGCGACGAGGAGTACGAGACCCACGGCCGACCTGGTTCTCGTAGCCATGACTTCTCGCAACGACCAAGCCAAGGTAGTCTGCGTGCCGCAGCTAACCGCAATGGATCTTCCAGTTTCGACCAGAGCCCCTGGGGAAGAAACCCCATGGATGCCCCCGACTACTTCGGCGGGTCTTCACCCGTGCATGCAATCGACTCTATGGCTACTTTCTGGTCACCGTTCCAGACCCAAGCGCAGTCTCCTACCAACGCCACAAGCATCCGACCACGTACCGCATCATCATCGAAGGGTACGGTGATGCTGAAGCAATCTGCAATGGTTAATGAAGACAAGCGCCGCTTCATGCTCGATCTGAAGCAAACACTCACAGGCCTGCTTCTGAGTGACCTCGGAACAATGGTCTTCGCCAACGGCAGCGAGACCGACTCATGGTTCGGTGGTGATCTGCTAGACGACTGCTTCGAGCGTAGAGATGAAGAAGAACGGAAACGCAAGAAGCAGCTCGCCAAGAAGAGCATGAAGAACATCCGGAAGCAGACCCTGCCCGATTCACGCAACTTGCCGCTGGAGACGCTCGGTCGCAACGAGCGTGGAACAGCGGCCCCGCCTGTTGCAACTTTCCAACACGCCAGTGCATCCGACGCTCACCAATCTGCCGGCGAGCAATCCTCGACTTCCAGCGACGCGACTTCGCGTTCGGTTGGCAATGCCACAGCGAAGAAGGCTGGACTACTCGAGTTCCCGTACAACGTTGCTTTCCGACGGCTGTTGGGCAGGTTCCAGACACATCCCAACCCATACTCTAAACTGCATGCGCTGTATGAGCTAGAGCTGCTCATCATAGCATCACTCTCTTCTCGAACGGGCCGCTCGTACAACAACCGACGGGAGACTCTACCCCCAGTTCCTCAATCACCCACCCTTGGCACCATGCCAGAGCTCAGTTCTCGTGAGCCAGCTACTCAAACTTCGCGTGCACAAAACCTCGAGGAAGCCATCGCCAACTGCGAGGAGCGCCGCTCTCACAGTATGAGCGTGGAACGCGTGAGCAACGCTTCCCCCCTGCCTCGCAACGGTGCACGCTCTCCGGTTGGACCGCCAAGCACAGACATGATCGTCGAAGTCATTCAAGGCCTCTTCCGCGATGCTAACATCCGACCCAAGACCTTGTTCCGAGACCTGCAGTACATTGCATCTTTTGTGCCTGCGCAAATGCTGGACAAGACTGCACGAGGCAAGGCATTCTGGGATGTTGGTCTCGCTGCTCTTGGCCTCAAGCAAGACGTGTGCCGAATCATGGTAGAGCTCGTCGATGAGGTCATCACCCAGAACTCGAAGCGCGATGCAGGCAAAGTCAGCAGTGGAGCTGCTGTCGAGAAGGCCGGTGCATCGTCCACTACACCAGCTCCGGTTGATGAACCACTGTCCAAGTACACCATGGAGGATGCTGGACGCATGCTTCTTATCACTGCCAAGGAGGGCGACGCAGTGGCCGAGCGTGAGCTTGCGATCTTTTATCTCACATCGCCCGAGCTTGTCCATCGCACAGTCCTGCCGCTCACCAGGCCCAGCGAAGTCTTCAAGACTGAGCTTCTCAACCGTGAGAGGAAGGCGTCGCAAGACCCCGCCCGCAGCGACCCAATGACCATGTGTGTCGCGCAACACTGGATGGAGCAGTCCATGAAGGGCGGCGACCAGCTTGCCGCCAAGTACTTGCGCCAGCGCAGCGAGCTGGAGAACATCAACCCGAGCAGGGCATAGTATGTCTTTTTCCGCATTTGGTGTTCGACTCTGCATTGATACCCCCGACCCGTCGACCTATTCTTCATTACCAGCGATACTGCGCGACCCTTTATTCATGCATTTCCGCCATGCGCACAACATCTTTACGGCCTATATACAACCATGACGGCCGGTCAAGCATAGCGAGGAGTTTCCCCATTTTATGTCTTTCACATTACCATCAAGGTTTTCGACTTTAAGCAAGCATGATTCCCCCTGTCGCCTTGACCTTCTTCTATTCGCGTTCTAGTTTATGTCTTCTTCATCTTATAACTTTACTCTTTTTTTTTTCAACCCCGGCGCAAACATGAAGGCTTCGACGATATATGACGCTTGTAGATCCGCGGAAAGGGTACAACGGATGGGGATACCAAATATACCAGGGCTCTTCTTCGGGAACATCATGGAGCTCGCGCAATGGCCAGTGCTCCATTACTTGTTCTTCCTCGGATTGTTTCCCACCGATGGCTTTTCTATATGCATGAGAATAGGCTTTCTTCAAGGATACGACAACGAATCTCCTTGGACATGAACAATATCCCTTTTTCTGGGCTGGTATCTGATGTTTACATACCATATAGCGTAGATTTCTCTAGCTCTGCTGGGTAGTAACGGCATTGGAATGGATAAATTGTGCAAAAGTAATGGACTGTGTGAGTTAGTTGATGTGATCATGATGAAACGATCGTGATTGCATGTAAGATGGTGTTGCAGTAAGTTGGATGCCTGGTATAGTGCACGCCGATGATGGGATACATTGACTATCCTACTTCACCAAACACAGCTAGCTACCACAACAACCCCAATCCCGTTATCAACATCTCAATCATCTCGATACTAGTATCTCACTCAAGACATCAACTCTTCGAAGACATCCATCCATGAACCGGGAGCTGGACGAGGCGAACTCTCCGTGCTATCGTCCGGGCTATCCTCCGCATACGCCTGATGCGCATTCGTCCCACACATACGGTGCGCGGGGTCTTCGACACTAGCATTGTAGCTTGAGGACCTACCTGTGGCTGTTGGGTGCATGGGTCGACGAGTGGGTTCTTGGAATGACAGATTGCGGTGAGTATCTGGTTTGGCGGAGAGGGCTGTACGCGGTGGGTTTGGGACGATGGAGCGGGCGGTCTTGGGAACGAAGATCCTGGTGGACTTGTTGGAAGGGTTTACGACGGGGGGCGGGAATAGAGGTCGGGATGAGGATGAGGGTTGCTGCGCGGTTTTGGTGGATTGGGCTAGAATGTCTAGAAGCTTCTGGTCCTCAGCCGAGTACGCAGCGTTCTTCTTATTCTTGCTCACGTACGTAGCGTTCTTCTTATTCCTGTTCGCGTGCGCAGCGTTCTCCAAGTTCTCGCGCGCGCGCTCCAGTGCAGCTTCCACTTCTCGGACATAGGCCTTTTTCAGTGGCTCCCTGCTCTGCCAAGCAGGGAGTTTCCTGGAAGCTTGATAGTACTCATCGGCCAGGTTTTGGTACTCATCAGGAAGGTTCTGGTCGTCGATAATTTTGTTCCTGGTTGCGTGATCGAGTCCTCGGCCGTAGAAGCGGAAGGGATCGAGTTCGTCCCATGCCACAGAGTGGCTCAACCAGGCAGGACGACTGCTGGGGTGTATATCCATGAGAGTGTCGAGCGTAGCCCGGGCTTTCGAGTGTGTTTTGGTTGTTTCATTCCGTGCCTCGTGTGCAGGTTCCCGGCCGTAGAAGCGGAAGGGGTCGAGCTCGGCGGCCACTGTCTGCTTGGGTGGTGATCCTACGCGCTTGAAGCTCAACTTCTGCTCTTGGCGCGGTTGCTTTCCTTGCTTTGCAGGGTTCTCTTGGAAGAAAACAATGGGTTTTGATCCTTGGTCTTCTTGGTGAATGATCACATTACGGCTTGGAGGATTAGCTGTGTAAGTGTGGGTTTGAGCAGGTTGTAGGTCTTCTCGGTAGATAACCATATGACTGCAACGATGATCAGCTGGGGATGCTTGAATCTGAACAGGTCCTACACGGAACCGGCCGAAGTGTTGCTGTTGCGATTGCTCGACCGGAGAATTGGAAGAAGGCGTGTCGGACCCGTGAGGAGTGCGGCCTGTGGGAGCGGACTCATGATGTTCTTCGGCATGAGCTTGTGCGTGTAGCTCAGCAGAATCATTGATATATTCGACATAACGGGAGACCAACTCCTCCCCTCCCTCAAAAGCGATAACATCCCACAACCACTGGAAATCAACCGGAAGGCCGAATTCATCATCGAATGTCGGAAAGCCATGGCCAGACTCCCACGCGTACATCTTCATGTCGTCGAGGTACTGGGAGCCTTGGAGCCAGTCGCTAATGAGACCTCGCACGGCGAGGCTATTCTGGTAAATGGGATCGCCGGGTCCTTCTGCAGGAGGCGGTTGAGTCCGCTCTAGGTATGCAGCAAGTGCTTCGAGATCTTGGGGCCGCATGGATCGCAGGATGTCCAAGTCGATGGGGAATGTGAAGTAGAGTTCGGAGCCGTTTGGAAGACGCACACAGTGCCCATTGGGATGCATGATGAACTCAGCGCAGCGCCTATCGCTAGTACGTAGGAAGGAAGGCATGTTTTGGAAAGTTGATAGTGAGATATACTTGATAAAAAGGGCTCTTGTTAAGTTGCTGATGTTTTGATGATGTGAGGGCTTAGTGGATGTGGTAGATTAGTAGAGGAACAGAGGACTTATATACCTACTATATGTGACATTCAACTTTCGTGAAGTTTGCACTCTTGAAGCCCGATAGTGTGGATGTTGAACACGGTGTTTGAACCCAGCGCACCAAACCGTGGAAGACTTACTGTGATCGCTCGTTAAAATATGTGCTGGCATGGAAAGTTCGATAGATATAGCGAGTGATCGCATCATGGGCACTGCCAGCTGTGCGTTCAGTATGTTTGCGGGTCTTTCCATTGAACAAAGTAATATTGCATGGGTGAGATATGGATTGCAGACGTTGTCAATGGCTCATCAGCTCTAAGTTCAGTATTTACCTGCGCAATTTCGCTTTCGTACTCTGCCACATGCGCTCTTCCCGCGTTGACGTTCTTTCGTGGAGCCTCGTTGACATCGCAAACGAGGTGTGTAGGCGCGACATACACATGTGAGATCACCTCTGACGCGTGCGCACCTGCAAGGCTTTGTGTAAAGACAGTCTCATTTACAATTATCTCCGGTTTGGTGGTTCTTGTGAGACTACTAATTCAACATTTCCAACATCTCCACCATCGTGCGAAAACTCTGGATCCGATTTTGCGCGACGATACCCTCGTCGGTTTTGCAGCGGATTCGGCGGATTCGGCCAAGTTCGTGTACTGGTGCGCATGCGTCCTTGCTCAAAGAAAGGAGTCTCCTCGTTGCTATGCTCCTCGTTGCTATGCTCCTCGTTGCTCATTGGGTCCTCTACTTCATGTTGCTGGTGCTCTTGCGATGCTGTCCGCATAAGAGGTGTCGAAGAGTCATCACTTATGCGCGGAACACTGGGCATGCCGAGTGGTACGACCGGGGCGTCGCTTTCGTTGTGTATTGCATGTGGTGTGATTGCTGGCGAGGAAGAGGAGTGTGCTGTAGCCGGTGTACCGAGCACAGCATTATGCGTTCCAGCGTTGTTGCGCGTCAGCTCGAATGAGAATGTGGGGTGCCTATGGCTATCGTTTCTTACATACGCAGAATCTGCGCGAGAGAGGACTGGTTCCTTTGTGGTATCCCTGGTCCACATAAGCGTTTTCCGTGGCTTTTCATCTGGACCGATCATGTTGATCATTTTACCGATAGCGAAAGCGAGTTTTCCTAGCCGAGTCAATGTGCCACGGGACATGCGGCGAGCGTGCATTGTCCACAATCGATATTTGCGGGTCCATCGTAAACCTCTCTTGGCGTCTTGGTAGTCTTCGGTTGAGAGATGAGACTGCTGACACCATTCTACCGTGATATAAAACATAGCCAGTCCCATGACGGATGCGGTTAATGCGGTACCCGATTTCCAGGTTATGGCAATCCCGTAGCCGTTCGACGTGAATTGTTGACTGAAATCTAGGTAGCCACCACCCCCGGCCCAGTTACTGGGAACGCAGTCACAGGTTCTGTACAGCCCGGTAACTTGCGCCATGACGATAAACATCTGTGAGAAAGTAGTCAGTAATGTAGTTCTTACTCAGAGAACACAGGAGTGACTCACTAGACATATGGTGTTGAGGCACTCCATGGGTCGGAAGAAGACGAGGTCCCACTTTGCCTGCGTCTCCTCTAGGGAATCTTCGACTCTCGCTCTCCTAGTTTCCCTGTCTCCCAATGGCCATAGGAGACAGATAGAGACTATGCAACGAACTAACAAGTCTCCCATAGCTTCACACATTCCGGAAAAGCTTTGTCCGAGTCCTTCCCTTATCGGCTGTGCGTACCCTGCCCACTGATTGAAAGTGCGATGGTTACGCAGGTAACGCTTAAGGAGGGCTAGCCAACGCGGAGTAATTTCATACGGCGAAAAGTACATCCAGACGGCCATTTCAACGATAAGCAGACCCGTTGCGACGGTGAAGAATATGGTGTACCCTCCGCTACGGCAACCGAGACCGATGGTGGGCGTGAAGTAACTCAAGATGAAAGCGCCTCCGCAACTTCCGCCGACGATGATGACAGCACTGATGATTTGCCAGAATTCTCGGAAATCGAACCAAACCAAGCCCTCGTCGTTGACGGTCCCCAATACCAGATGTGCTCGTGCGTCTTCTTCGTTTGCCAGCCAGTCACGGCCTTTCTCTTGGATATAACAACCCTCGATATCGCACAAAATGGCATGCGCAGCACCGTAATGCCACCTCACGCGCGCTTGACCTGCAAAACTTTCAAAAAAGCCGTCCATCTGCTGTGCTTTCTCTGCTACATCCCCGATCTTGACTTCCAACTCATGGTATTCTGGCAGACCTTGGAAGACTTTGAGGTACTCCCTACGATTGTCCGGGTCATGTAAAGAAACG